CCTCTCTCTCTCTCTCTCTCTCTCTCTCTCTCTCTCTCTCTCTCTCTCTCTCTCTCTCTCTCTATCTCTCCTCATCTCTCTCACTCTCTCAGTGTATGCATGTGTCTGTGTTTGTGCGTATGTGTGTCTGTCTATTTGTCTGTGTCTGCGGGTGTGTTCAGTTCGATTTCAGCATCAGTCCTGGTTGGCTGTCTGCCTCACATCCCGCCAGTTGATGTAACAAGGTGCACCACAGGCGGGTTCTATACCACGGGAACGCTCAAGTTTGTAACCCTGCTCCTTCTCATTGTGTTTCCTTTTTTGAAATAATCGAATCATAAAAGCCCTAACAATTAAATCGATCCTCCCAAGGTCCTTCCGCCCCATTGCTCCCTGTTAAAACAACGTTTATACAGTAGGCAGTGTCCCACCATCCTTTTTCCTCCCAACCACACCTCCTCCTCCCTCCCTCATTCATTCTCTCGCACCCCACCCAGCATTCTTTCACCACCCCCGAAAAAAAACAACCTCCCAAAGAAAACAAAAACAAAACAAAAACAACAATAAAACAAACCACATATACAACCCCCCCCCCAAACAACAACAACAACAAAAACCCGTTATATGTTGTGTAGCATTGTCTTTTATCTTTTCTCCTTTGGTCTTTGGCAGGTTTCAACACAAGCTTTCCCCAATAACTTGACAGACTTGTTGGAGGAGTTGGCAACACGTTGAGTGAAAGTGATATATCTGACGTCATCAAACTTGTTGAGGTTTCTTTTTTAGAAAAAGTTCTGAATCGTAACAACAATCCATTTTCATCAAAGTTACGTTCTGAAAGTGTTTAGGGTCAAACAGTAACCTGATTGTTTCATTTTAGCCAATCCTCTCATTCGTACATGATTAAGGATACATTTAGTGAAAATAGTGCTATGGCAATTCGAGAGAGAAGTGCTGTTTAGAACGTTTCACACAAATTCATCTCTATAAGGTTTTTTAATGTGTTTTCATTAAACTGAAAAGAGCATTTATCTTGCTGGTCCAAGACATTGAGGCAAGAAAAACCTGTTGACAAGGTTTGCTTCATAGTAACGTTTAGACAAAGCATGGTGTAGGTACGCAGCGAATTTCAAACTTTAATACCTGTTCAGCAAATTTGGCAAATTGCGCTTTATGGACTGAAAAACTCTGAGGCTCCCGTCTACAAAGTAACTAAACGAAACCATGAGGCATCAGGTGGAAAATAATTGTCCTTAATTCATACATACGACTAGAGATGTATTCCACATTTACAAAATGTTCTGAATAGCCAGAGAGAGAACGGGGAGAAAAGAACTGCGCGTTCGAGTTGGGCTATGCACTAAAGTAGTTGTGATAGGACTTTACTATAGTAGTAGAGACAAGTCTTTGGTTTCGATTTGTACTATGTACTGAAATAGTAGTGATAAATGTGCATTATCTAGTTGGACTATGCACTGAAGTGGACAAGTCTATATTTCCAAATTGGGACATGTACTGACGTGTACACATCTAAATTCTCAAATTGGGCTATGTATTGAAGTGGACAAGTCTATATTCTCAAATTGGGCTATGTATTGAAGTGGGCAAGTCTATATTCTCAAGTTGGGATATGTACTGAAGCAGTAGTAAGACTTCGGTGACTCTGACGTCATGCTCAACTCCACGCCGAACGTGACTCTTGGCTCGGCCACGTCCAGCCTCCAGCAGGCCGCCCACCACGTCTTCGAGTCGACTAGCGTCCTGATCCTGCCCCAGGACAACTCCTCCGACTACCCGACAGACGGCCTGCAGCATGGAGACTTCTTCCCACCCCCCACCGGACCCCTGCTCAATTTCCACGAGTGGTTCCTCAAGGTGCACGGTTACGCCAGCGTTGTCGTCTGTGTGTTCGGCATCTTCACCAATGTCTTCAACATCACCGTTCTCATGGCCAGGGACATGCGGACTGCCACCAATTACCTCCTGACTTTTCTGGCTGTGTCGGATATTCTAACAATGTTACCATATATTCCCTACACGATACACTTCTACTGCCCGACCACAAACCCGTACGAGACCCCGTGGAAGTATTCTTATGGGTGGATCCTTTACATGCTGATAGTAATCAATCTCGCAGCCACGACCCACACCATCTCTATCTGGCTGGCTGTGACCTTGGCCGCATTTCGATTTAACCAAATTCGGTCGCCATGCCCCAGCGGCCCTTTGGCCAGAAAGAAGCGGATTCGACAGGTAAAAGTAGCCACGCTCATCATTTACGTGACCTCTATCGTGGCGCTGATCCCTAACTATATCAATAACGAGATAGAACCAGTCCCACTGTGGGGCAACTATTCTGCTTATGGACTGAAAGAAAAAAAGCTGGGCAGTCCTCAGGATGATGTTTTCGTGTTTGCGAACGTTCTCACGTACGCCGTGTTGGCCAAAATCATACCCTGCATTCTGATTCTCGTGTTCAGCGGCTCGCTTCTGTACCACATGGCAGTGAAGACAGCCCGACGGAGACAGAGGCTGAGCGCTAACCGCCAGCACGCGAGCACCACACGGATGTTGCTGGTCGTTCTCGTCTTGTTCGTCATCACAGAGCTACCCCAGGGCATCATGTTCATCCTCATCGCCACAGTGCCCGGGTTCTATCACAACGTGTATTACCAGCTGGGCGACCTCACCGATTTCGTCGCTCTCCTCAACAACGCCGTCAACTTCATTCTCTACTGCCTGATGAGTCAGCAATTCCGGGATAAGTTCTTCGCCATCTACATCAAGCCTTTATGCGAACGCAGGAGAACCGTGATTACGTCAACGTCTGAACTGCTCATACTCCGAGAGCACGTGCCTCGCACGGTGACCACCACCACTCACGAGGACAACCTCACCCAAAATATGAAGGTATGACGTCAGTCCTGCGGCCGGGGGAGGGCTATAACTGATGGTCTCACCCGCTCACCGCGCAGGGTGTCGAGAGCGACCATCGATGGCTTGCGGTTGGACCCGTTAGAGACTGGATCTCACATGTACCTCCATCAGTGCGTCACGCCGTCGCCCAACCACAAACCCAGTGTCCATCTGTTGGTGACCACGCCTGTGGACGGCTGTTACACGGACCACGACACAGCACTGTGATCATGTGCCATGTTCTCCCATTAGTTCAAAGTACCCTCCTAGCCTCCCTCGTTCGCTCTAGCAATATCAAGTACTCTATATTATGTTTCTATGACTTTCCATTCCCTGATTGTTATGTTCTCTCATAATGTTCTCTCATATAAATATAAACGAAAATATACTCTCTCTCTCTCTCTCCCTCTCTCTCTCTCCCTCCCTCTCTCTCTCTCTCTCTCTCTCTCTCTCCCCCCTCCCTCTTTCTCTCTCACACACACGCACAGATCTATCTATCTATCTATCTATCTATCTATCTATCTATCTATCTATCTATCTATC